CCCCATTAAGACTAACAAATTCATTAAACCATTTTTATAGGGTACATGTGGAAAGTGCATCAAATTTAAGAACCCATTCTTTTATATTTCTTTTAGTTGAACTAACAAGGACTACTCCCTGTATATCAGGTTTATCCTTATAGGCAATAGTTGCAGAACCATCAAAATTATTTTTATCTTTCATATCTGATATTTTCTTGAAATAATCTTTTATGAAATGATTGATTTTTCTACAATAATAGCATTTCTTGACTTTGTTCTTAGATTACATTTGATTATTATTCTTGTCTTTGAATCTAAGATTTTGGGGTTCGCCTTTCGTATAGGAGTTACAATTACATAAATTATTTCTTTTATTTTGTTCAGTTTTTTCCTTGATAAGTAAACCTTCACCAATTTTAGAATCTTTGAACTCAAATTTTAGTTCAAGTTTTTTATTCCTCGAGACTAAAGTCATGATTTCAATAGTAAGATCTTCTCTCCCATATTCCAAGCCATTTTTTATTTTCCTTTATTTATCACTTAGGGAATTTAACAAGGCCACAATTGTTGATCATCAGATAATTTTTCATCACAATTATAATGAATTAGTTTTGTGAACTTATCAATATTTTCTTTTAGGATAGAGGAAGAACTAAACCAAAAGTTATAAAATTATCTCAAAAGTAGGATTTATTAGGCATATTCTTAGTAATGTAAAGCGTTCCTAACTTAGCCCAAAGAGTTTTAACTGCAGCGCTTTCACCAACTTTTCTTATCACACTATCAGATAAGTGTAGAAAAATAAAACTCCAAACAACCTCATCTAATTCTTGTTTCCTATAAGCACTAATCTCAGTAGTTCATGTCTAATCAAGGGCAGTAGCACATCTCTATTGCAACAGTAGAGCATTCATTTTCTAGTGTCGGAGACTAAAGTCTTCAATTCCATCCTAGATTCCAGCTTCAAAATTGTGTACATTAGACATATTGACAGTTAGGATCACAATAACACAATTATACAATGAACAAAGTATATCTGATTCAAGGAATGTGATAAAATTACAGGATATGCAAATTTTAGAATAAAGCAAGAAAATAGAATCTTGCCTACTTATCATGCAATGAACACAAGACTACGAGACATGTTATATAATTCAAGTATGCAATATACCAAATTTTATGACAATAGATTTATGATCAAACAAATAAGTGATTCTCAAACATGGTTGTAAATTTGAAAGGGCTAGTAATCTTTTAGTCCACTACTTCCTCGAATTCCCAAATCCTAGAAAGAGATCTTGGACAAAAAAAAAAGAAAAAGAAAAGAAAGTAATGGTAGAATACTTACCTTAATAACTAGATCAAAATTAGTGGAAACAATTTAATAATAGAAAATCAAAGAGAGTGGGAAGAATATGCTAAAGTATAAAATCTCGAAATTTCAGAATAAATGGATCAATGTAAGAATACCCAAATTTAAGAATTTCAAATTGTGCAAAAGATCTCAGCGAGTCACAATTACTCAGTACAACTCAATAGTGAGTCAAGAAATCAGCAAGAATCAGAGTTTTTCAGCTTAACTCACTAGAACTCAAAACAAGTTGCAAGTATCACCACGACTCATAAATAAATCAATAACAAAATCCCCATAACTCAATAGTAAAATACCAGATTTTTCAGGATCAGAAGCGAGTTAAAGGTATTTCAGAGGAAAAACAAATTAAACCTCAAGGACAGTAATAGATCATACTAGATCTCTCAAATTTAACCCAGAAGACATAAAATCTTAAAGTGACCCAACCAAAAGTTGAATCGAAGAGAGATCAAACAAATTCCTTTTCGAAAAACCATCTAACAAAAGCCTTAAAAAATTTCCAGATTTATAAGGAATAGGCAATTTTAGGAAAAAAAAACCCCAACCCTTTAAAGAAAATTGCTCTGACACCATTTGTTGGTCCCAAAAATGTTTGTAAAACCCATTTTAAACCCAAAATATGTTTCAAGAAAGTAAATCGCAAAAATCAAAATTTTAAGAACACATAATTGTTCTTACCTCTAAGAGCCCAAATGTTTAGCTTTCCGCTTAATCGCCACATTGATTATCTACGAGTGGATATAGCTCTAGATCTACTAGAATTACTTCACTCAAGTTTCCTCTCATCTTTCTAAAATTACAACCAAGCAAACTCGTTAAATCTCTCAGATTGCTCACTAACAACAACCAAGAAAAGTCTTACAAAAGGATTACACAGATTGAAAATGAAGAAGAAGAATAAAAAACATTTAGATAGAGAGACTGAAACCCTAGATAACAAATAGAAGCCATACAAGAATATGAGAGACGTGTGAGGCTATATATTCCAACCCAAAAGTCACGAATCCAACAACCCGAAGAAGGCCACATGTCAGGCCAGATCTCAGCCTTTAATAGAGGCAAAGTTGCATCTTCAGCAAACATGATTTTATCAAGTAAATTGAATTAGACACGAAAATATATATACACCAGCCCAAGTCCAGTATACTCAATAACAGTGAGGCAGCCCAGACTCAACAAGTGTTGAAGCCTCTTGAAACTGATCAAAAAGGTAGTAAAGGAAAACTTTATTATGGCTTTGAAATGTGCCAGAAAGTGTTTGAAGTGAGACACTTTCTTCCCTAATGACTCTTTACAGCACGTGAGGAAATCAAGCTATACCTCTTTTCTAGTTATTCTGGTTACTTATGGAAGGTTATCGAGATAGAAAATCAATTTAGTGAAGTTTGCTATCACTTTCATCACGAATGTAGGTGGGCCAAAAATATGATATTCGCATGAACAGGAATACATTCGCCTAACAAGAACTAGAAACAATGTAGAGATCGGATTCACTATATATGGACTTGTAGCCTTCGTATTTGAAATATACCACAAACGAAGTAAACTTCTCATTAAGATCTATCTAGATGTATAAAGTCCAATAGTTATACAAAAATTGTGCCTAGAAGATCTTAGGGTGCATCTGATTGTCAATATTTTTCATGAAAAATATGTTTTTTCACCTAAATTCCTATTTATGTTGTTAGATTGATATTTTTTCCATAGAAAATATTTTTCTACTTTTGTTCATGTAACCATATTTTCCTCAAAATAAAGGAAAATACTTTTTTTTAGGGGAGTAGGATTTTATTTTTCAAGGAATTCATTCTCTTTTATCTGTCAACTTTCTCTCAGCTACGCACCAATAAAAAATGAACAAATATAATATTTTCTAAGTAGAAAACTAAATGAATCAAATACGTCTAATAAATAATTTTCATATAAATAAGTTCTAAGCAATTGAATTACCTAGAATTTATTTTCTTTTTATGCAAATCTCAAGCTTGCAATCAAACACATCCTTAGAGAAAATATAGAATTACAAGTGGATTAGAGAGATGAAGTATGAGAAGAGAAGCATCTGAGCACATTTTTCAAGAGAAATCTCTAGTAAGTGAAAATCATAACATATTTACACAAAGTATATTCAATGCAATCATGGAACTATTAAAAAATTACGCCATAATAGGACAAGTACACGATGTTTAAAAGCATTCCTCTCCAATGGAAGCTAACTGAGACTTCATCAAGCTGATATTATAAAGAAAAAATTGACAATGTCTGGAGATTCATTTAGATGTAGAAGCCCTATTAGACAAGCAAGTCAACATCATTT